TTAAATCTAAAACATGGGAGCATGGGCAACAGAAAGGCCAATGAAAGGAATAGAAATTTCACTGTACATAATAAAGTGAACGCAATCAGAAAGAAGAATTTATTTTATGTGTATAATGCATATAAAACATTATTGTATCTATAAACTTTTCTTCTACCTTCACTGAAAGTGAGAGAAAGAGGAACACTGCCCTACAAAACTCAACACAAAAGGGAAGCTGTTCTTCTCCAGCAATTCCTCACCTGCTTTCCCTTTTCTGTAAGGAGCTTGGTACTTAATTCAGTAATTTGAACTGATTACCTGGAAACTGCATCTCACGGCTACTATGGGTGATGTGGCTGGGAGCTCCCCCTCAGGTGCAAAGTCTCTGGTGAAATCTGTGTGGCAGACTCGTTTGTTATCAATAGCATGGGCAGAATAAAAGCTAGCAGAGCTGTTACTACTGCTGAGTCAGATCCTTTCTTAGTGTAACCTGTTATGAAAGGACACTTGTATTACCTGGAGCAATGCTCTTTTTGGTCTCCTTCTCCAGTCTTTCAAATGGCCACAGAATTTAAAACTATAAAGGATTAGAGGAACATGGCGTGTCTCTAGTGCTATGAGAAGGCATTTTGTATGTGTGTCAGAGGTGTTGAATCTGAGGATCCAAGGCCTTGTGGGTCCCCAAAAATTTTGGATGTGGCTCTCAGATTTTCTCCAAAAACTGGAATGAATGGTAACTTTTAGGTGACATAAGACAAATATTATTAAATACACAACACTAAAGTTAACAATATATAAAATTAACATGATTGAAAAATAAATTAATCACATTTTTTCCTGATCCTACCCACTCTTTGGGGCAGGAGGTATCTTTCCTAACACTCTGTGCAAAGGCCAAATGCAGCAATCCTTAGCCCTGAAAATCTCTTTGAAGAATTGTTCCAGAAATGTTTAAAGATGAAAGCATAAGAAGGGAGAATGCAAGCTTGAAAATGTTCATCAGCAGCTGACGAAGGTTATGTGGCCTTCTGTTTTGTATGATGTAGAAGAACCTTCAGTTAGAATCTCCATGTCTAGGATGTTCAGGCCAGGTGGGCAAACTGCAGACATAGCAGTCTTCCAATATTTGAGGGGCTGTGAAATATTTGAGAGAAGTGGGAAATCAACTTATTTTTCAAAGCACCCTGAGGGCAGGACAGGATGTAACCAATGGAAGTTTATCAAAGAGAGATCTAACCTAGAATTAAGGAGAAATTGCCTGATGGTGAGAACAATTAATCAATGGTATAGCTTGCTTCCTGGGATTGTAGGTGTTTCATCACTGGAGGTATTTAAGAAGAGACTGGACAGCCACTTGTCTGGAATGGTAAAGGATTTTCTGCTCAAGCAGGGGGCTAGACTAGAAGATCTCTAAAGTCCCTTTCAGCTCTGTAAATCTGTATTCTGTAGTCTTCCCTTGGGGAAGTAATGGGATGTGGGACTAGAAACAGGCCTTCTTGGTAATAACTCTTCACTTTGGAGTAGTCTCTCCACCCCCAAAAATCCAGTGGACTTCCTCCTTACTGCTATATCAGAAGCCTATTAAAACAGCAAACTCTCTCAAACCCCTCCCCCCAAAGACTTTGGTACTACTTCTTTGGAAGCAGCAACTGAACAAGGCCTTACAGAACCTACAGATTGTCTTCCTAACAAAAGCTATTCCTGCTGAAATATATTGTTTTTTCAGAAAATAAATCCAAACTACGTGTTACATTAAATGCAAATGTTTGTACTTTTATACTACCAATTCAAGTGTTTTTGTATCTTTGTGCTTGTGAAAAAAAAGGAGACAAGGTCGCTGGCCCATTGTCAAGATCCATGGAAGCAAAGTGCAGTCAAGGATTCATTCTAGATTCTGAGGAAGAAGTTGTAGGCGAGAGGAAGGGCAATTTAACTCAGGGGTGGAGGACATAATCTGGCTGAAGGACAAGATTGTGCCCCCCTACATATTTAGTGGGCCAGATGACGTCAGATGGGTAGGGTAGGTTCTTATGGGAAAGGAATCTTTTGCTCCACCAGAGCCCTTTTCTGGGCTAACCCCAACATCAAATCAACTTTTTTTCAATCTCTCCCCTCAGTTTCCTGTTCCCTACCATCCTATTCTTGTTAGTCAGAGAGTGGTGCGTAGTCATGGCTTCTCCTGAGCAAGGAGTCAGGAGCTGATGGCTCCTGACACGAAGCCATCAGCTTCCATAATACAGATGAGAGACTCCCTATGCTCACTCCAACCCCAACCCCCCCCCCCAGGTTAGCTGAAGTAGTTTCAAGATTCAGAACACAAAATTTGAATGGAAGAGTCAATGAAGGATACCGGGCAGCAGATCCATTGTGTAAAGTGGAAAAATAGTGGCAAATTTTTGTACAGATTGTGAAAAGTAGCACCTGCTACATTTTTACTTCTTCTGTACAATTGCATGGGCAAGGACCATGTTCTCTTTTCCAGGCAGACATCTTATATTGACTGTTCGGTGAACAATGTGGTGTTGAAGTGACTTAGTTCCACATAGAAGCAGTAATTTTATTTTGTTAATTTCCCACCCCCCCCTTTTTTTTTTTACTATATCCACTTTTGTATTAGTGATTACTTCATCCACATACCTTGCTAGGAATCTACATGTTATGTTTTACAAAGAAAATAATGAGTGAGTTGGCCTGCCTGTGGAAAACTAGGACAATCTCTGGTGACACCTTGTGGCAGATGAAGAGAGTCTCAAGGTAAGATTATTTTTTTATATTTTAAACTATTTTCTCATGAAGAAACCAAATTACTTTTAGTGGTATTTCTGGCTTCTGCGCAGTATAAGAAGGTAAAGAAAAACAGATCTGTGATATAGGAAACAGGATATAAAAATAGATCTCTTTCAATATCTATTTCAGTTCTGACAAATAGAATATAGAGGCAAATGACAAAGAAATGAACTGCATTTATCCAGGTTTAAACTTTCCTAATAATCACAGAAGATGAAAATCCCATAAAGATGCTTTTGGTTTTAAAATCTAAACCCTGCAATGGGACATAATAACGTGCTTGTCTTAGGTAGCAAATGTTAATAATACTGTTACCATTTCCCCCTAAATAAGACATCCCCTGATAATAAGCTCAATCAGGCTTTTGAGCACATGGCAATAAGGCCAAGTGCTTATTTCAGGATTCAAAAAAATATAAGACAGGGTCTTATTTTTGGGGAAACATGGTATAAAGCAGACTTGAAACGACTATTTATGTTGAAATGTATTGTCATCAACAGAAACATCAGTATTTATTTTTCTTTGCATTAATTGTGGCCTAGGAGAAGATCAATAACACACTAGGATGTGCACTTCTCAAGAAGTTTATCTTTATTTGCCATCTATGTAAAAGCATTGGCTGTACTTGTCAGTGTAGAAATGCAGTATGGTACAGAGATGAAAGGATTAAAGATTTGTAAAAGATGCCATAGTCCACAACAATCTCCCGTAACCTGGCAACATATAGCTGTGACGAGCAGTATCCATAATTCCCTGCCAACAAAGGCATTGCTCATTCTGGCTTAGGTCAGTGGGTACCCCGTAGTATGTTTATCAAGAAGTGTTGATGATGAGAACTGTGAGTTTTCCTGTTCGTTTTGGAATTACACTATTTGAATTGGCCAATCACAGCCAAGCATATCTTTTGTTGGATTGTTTGTGGCCAAAGTCGATCAAGGGAGGGATGGTTTTCTACTCTAGAACTACATCTCCCAACCAGTGTGACCAATACTGAAAGATGGTGGCAGCTGCAATTCAGCAGTATCCAGAAGGCAAATCTTCTTCGGCTCATCCATTTGTCACATAAGACATGATAAAAGAAAACATCTTCCATGACATCTTATGCACTAGGGCCAGGCCTCCTGAGATACCTAGAGAAAACCAGGAGTGTGTTTTTAAATTAGTTTTTAAGTCATAAAAGTAAATCAAGAAAGTTTTTAAAGCTTTGGTAGGTCCTGGAGTTTACCAGCAGCCTGGCTAGCCTCTCAAAACGTATTGCTATGGGAAGAAAAACAGGGCCTTTTCTACCATGGTGCCTTTTCTGTGCAATTTCTTTCCCAAGAACCTTAAGAAATAACATAGCAATTTTATTTTGTATTCTAGTTGCTGGTTATATTTTCAGTATGAGATTTATTTTATGCAATGTTCTCTACTCAGCTTCTGTTATTATTTTTATGATAATGGCTTGGTTGTGTGAATCACCTGGAGGTCCCTGGTAAATTGAAAGCCAGGCTACAGATATGAAAACAAACAAACACCGCATCCATGTCACTACTTTTTCTTAGCATGCGCTCTGGGGATTTCTTGCCAATGTGTAGGAGGTTAATTAGTACAATTATTAATGAATACTGTAATTATAGTCATTTAAAAGCATGAGAGTTTGCTGTTGTTATTATCTTGTATGCAGTCATTACCAAACATGTGGGTGTCTTTTCATTAAAACAAATAAGACAACAATTAGGCACAAAGCAATCCAAATGCTAGCAGGAGAAGTATATAGACAATAATATTCCATGCAAGTGAGGAGGAAGGTCTCAAGTTGTTCATACAGTGATAATCATACAGAGGAATGACATGAAATCTATTCACACAATGCCTGCACATCACTGGAAGAATTGGTAGAGATATCCCAAAACTACTTAAGATTATGATATTGGATGTGAGCAGGCTCACGTTCACACATACAGCTTATCAGATCACGATGCACAAATAAATGCATAGAATCTTTTAATTTTGCACAACAGAATAGAATATGTCTCAAAAAGTTTGGCATTTAGACTGCTGTCCAATATTTATTTTATTCAGAGCAAGTCCCATTGAGTTGAATGGCTATGCAAAGTTTCCTTTCAGTTGAGTGCGAGTCCTGGTTCATTCTTTAAATACATCTGGATGGTTTTCCTGGCAACAGTACAGAAGTAATTTGCTATTCCTTCTTCTAGCATGTTTTTTTAAAACTGTTCAAATCTTATTTTAGGTCAACAAATCTCCAGCAGCTCCTGAGAAAAGAACCAGAAAAGGTAAGATGATTTTGATAAGAAAGCAAGTGAAAGGGCTGAATGGTTGAGGAAAAAAGAGAGTATAAAAGAATTGGTAAGAAAGTAGAGTAGCATAACATATATGTAGAAAAAAAATACCTGCAAAGAATGTAGTCAAAGAGGGCAAGGTACAGTTAAGGTAAAGCAGGAAGAGAAAATTAACAACAATTTTGATGGAAATAAAGTATCTAAGAAAATATGGAGAAATGTGAAATACAGATGTGGTTTACCCATGAACTGGCAGTGTGACTTGCTTCAGGTGTAGCTAAAAATGACATCCGTGCCTGATGATTGGAAGAATGCCATTATTGTACCCCCATATAATGGGCAAGGTAGCAACAGTGAATGCAACAACCTCAAGAGGATGTTTTCTAACAGTACCTAACAAGGAGCAACATTGGAGAAATGCAGCACAGCTTTGCCACCCAGATTTTTACTCTTCAGCTGGTCATTGGGAAATGTATGAATGTAAGAGGTAACATGAATTGTATGTTTGCTGATTTGGAGAAAGAGTATGACACAGTTTGAATTATGAAAAGATGTGTGCAAATATGGATTTAAGGTTGATTGCTAAATATGATAGTAGTGGTATATGATGGAACTAAATCACACGTAAAAATGATTCAATATTGAGAAGGAAGTAAAACAAAGGTATGTAGTGTATCTTTGGTGATATGCATGTGCATAAATGGATAAGGAAAGCTTGTGGCAATATAGGAAATGTGTGCTTTGTCATGTTATTGACTGGAAACCTGAACCCATTTGCAGCAAATCTAAACAGGTTGTATGATGCCCCGAAGCACATGGATCTGAAAGTTAACAAATTGAAGTTCAAAAAAGTTATATTTTGACAGAGAAAGCAAACAATTTCAAATCATGCATAAATGGTGAAAAATTAGCTAGTTGATGAATTTTTGAACTTCGATTTATTATTTATTCATATTTATTAAAGATAGAAAGTGGATGGAGAAATAGTAAGAAACACAATTGTTGGTAGAAATGTAGTGAATAGCATTTGGCCTAGTATGATGAATGAATGTTTATTCAAAAAGCAAAAAAAGGCTGTGTCTAAGAGCATGCTTCTGCCTACTTGTTATATGAAAGTGAGAATTGGATATGTCAGAAGAAATGTAAAAGTTGAATGCATTGGGAATGATGTAGTTAAGAAATATGAGTGCTAAAACAAGAAGAAATAGTGTCAAGAATGAATGGCTGCTGAATGAATGTGGACTGAATAATAAAGTGAGTGATCAGTGCATTGGATAGTTTGATTGTAGAGAGAGAAACAATGAGGATCAAACTGCAAAACAAATATATGAAGAAAAAGTATATGAATTGAGAGGAAAGACTGTGAAAGTTGTGATTGAGTAGAGTTGATGAGATCATCAAAAATAAAGAGAGATGAGAAATTTAGATAGCAGAAGGCAATGCATGAAACAACTTATGGATGTGATAGAAGCAAAGATTGTGTACAAGGATAGAAAGATAACAGTATAGCAGAATAACAAAGTTGGAAGGGACCTTGGAGGTCCTCTAGTCCAACCCCCTGTTCAAGCAGGAGATCTTATTCCATTCAAGAAAAATGACTGTCCAATCTCTTCTTAAAAACACCCAGTGATGGATCACCCACAATTTCTGAAGGAAAGTTGTTCCACTGGTTTATTGTTCTCACTGTCAGGAAATGGAGAAGAAATTGTTCTCACTGTTAGATTTGGAGAGGTAAAATGAATGGTATTGGTACAAACTAGATTTAGCTGTATTTCCTTTTCTTAAAGCTAAGTATTTTGGCTTCTTATTTCTTATTTTTTCTGTGCTTTTCATAAAGTAATTTACCCCAAAAGAGAAGTATGAAGGGTATGTATGTATGTATGCATGCATCAGTTTTAAGCACAATCTTTGTTTCCAAGGTGCTTCTGAGCTTCACTTACACATTGAGGGACTCTTAAAAAATAAAGCATGACTGCAGCTAATAATTTAATAGGTAGTGGCAAGGTAATTGAGAGCATCCTGCAAAGTTTTGGGGTGGGTGGGTATTGAGAAGCAGCACCATATGCTTTCTGCTGAATTAACCCTTGCTCATTGGTCATACCCATCATGGCAGCTAATTATTGATATTGTCTATTGTGCATCATTTTTAGTAAAAAAAAATGCTCCATGGCCTAAACATATATGGGGATTATTGTATTCTCAATGAATTTAGCTGTCTTATAGATGGAGATTATATATAACTGAAGATTTTTGGTAAATAAGAATGCCTAGAGATTTTGACTCCAGTTTATGCATAAGATGTTTACTTGATGCTATAGTCTTGTACTGATGATACTGGATCAACTAGCCTGTTGATCTGGTCCACATATTCATTGGTATAGATTTCCAGTTCACCAAATATAGGATACCCAGTAATTCCTTCACATATGGAATGTGCATGGTGGAGACCCCCCAGAAGGAGTAGATTGAACCTTGACATGGTGAGCTGATGACAAACACAAAGTTAAGGACACAGTGCTGAGAGCTGTCTCTATCCAGTCTTTTCTAACTTGAAAGAATCCATGTGGGGTGAGATAAGTATCTACATCTGAATTTAGGTTTGATCCTCATCAATAGCAGAATAAGAATAAATCTTGAAGTATAATTAATATTATGATTTGAAGGCTATTTGGAAATATTTTGCTGCCTGAGATGAAGGATAAGATAACCCCTTTTCCTATTTCACATATAAATTTGGCAATGTTGACATCTGAACCTCACTTCAAAACTAATCACACTCCATACAGGGCAGGTTGCCTGGAGAATATGGCTCCTTTCTTTAAAGAGGGGGAAGATCACAGCTGTTTTGTGCAGTCTAGCACCTGGTACCTGAAGGGAAATTCATTGGGAATTTGCCCCATGCAAATTCAATTTACTTTAAAGTATCAAGAGAGGCAGAAGTTTCCCCATGTTAAAATCTCTCTGTAAACAGAAAGTTAACATGTTATGAACATACACAAAGGCATGTTTTAAGTATATGTGTATTCATTAAATAATGGCATCCTACTATGTAATTTCAAGAGGTTTAGTCTACTAGCATATCATGGTTCTGCCATCTGACTGTACTGCATGAAGAAAGCAAGGCAAATTGTGCCTTACTGAAAAATTAATTTCTCCTTGCTGTTACTTATATTCAAGGAGATAATTATAAATATTAAAGGGCTCTTCAGTTGCACAAGTATTTGGTTTGTGCCTTAAGATACTGTGGCACATTCAGCCTATGTGATATGATAGCATTCTAAAGCAATTCCTTTACAATCAGAAATTAAAGTTTATAGTGTGTATTTTAAAACTATATAATCAAATGTGTTATGGCTGGCATATCTGTTGATTTAAAAGATTTTTTTAAAACTTCACCTTGGCATGCCTTTTATCACAAATCATTCTGAAACTTTTTAATTTATGAGCTTTTATTGCAATCCTCAATTCATCCTGAGTAGTCTATTATTAAGTGTTCTACTGGGCTCTTATTGTTCTTTATCAAAGTATTGTATCTCCCTGCAATTCATCTGTAGTCATTCTTCACAGAGAAAATCTTTCATATTAGGTTCCTTTCATCATTCGATGACAACTCTTGAATGCATCATTATTCAGCAATGGGTTTAGAAATTATAATCATTAGACAATTTTTCATATAATCTGATTTTATAAACTGCTTCTTTTTATTATCTTTTGATGGAAAACAGTAAATGTATCTGTCTGTTTTGATCCATCGTGATAACTGTAATAGAAAAACTAAGTAAGAACATCTTATTGAGGAAACAGCCACACTGAAATTCTTATATGCATGAACTGAAAGGTTATTTAATGTGAAGGAAGAAAATCCTTCTCTGACTTAATGAGGCATTCTCACAGCAAATATCTAAACCTGGTACTTTACTCCTGCAAGCCTGTCAGGGTTCAATTGACTTTGTACTCCAGAAAGGGTTTTTTTTTTTTTTTTGAGTCACATAAAATGAACAATTAAAAACAAAACAAAGATAGAGAATGGGAGCATGGGTACATATTTAGGGCTCAGTTCTCAGTTACTTTATGAAACCATCAATAAGATGAATGGTTATATGCGATGACTATTGTTGGCCTCAGCTGCCATTGTATGCATTTTATTCTTATTAATCCCATGTTAGCTGCCCAGAATCACTACTAGATGGATGACAATCTACATTGATTGAAGCAAACGAACAAACATACATCTTTAAGGATTTCTATAGAAACTTTGAAGGAGAAAAACAATATTCTATAATGATTAGTTAATGAAACCCAGCACCAAATGTCCTGACAGATACACTCACCAAGAAAGTGTCTACACTACAAATCTATATGGCTTTTAGTGAATGTGACCACTTTGGCACCTTCTGGCCACTTGACCCTGGTCTAGACACAGCCTTACTGCCAGGGCTCTGGAATAGTTTTCCGGGACCTTTCAATTTTGGGTAGTCTGAAAATTTTACATCAAGTTCTCCCACCGTTTCTGCCAATATCTGACCTGGATCAGTATGAACTGTAGTGGTAGTGATGGGACTCTAGGTTAAAGAAAGAAAAAAAAAAGAGATTGCTCTCTCTGGTGCTGCTTCCTAGTACTAGGCCTGTCAGCTGTTATTTGGGCTTTTTAAAATATGGGCATTCCAATCTTCTGGAATGCTAATCCAGAAAGAGTCTGACCAGTAGGTAAGAGCTAGGCTTTTTCTGAATACAGCTGCAGAAAATACTATACAAAACCTAATGAATTTCGACAGATATCTAGTCACAAGACTCATTTACCATCACCAGAGTCTTGGTCCATCTTTAAGTAGAGTGATTTGTTGATATTTTCCACCTGGCTGGTGATGTTCAGAATAACAAGGTTGGAAGGTCTTCTAGTCCAATCCCCAGCTCAAGCAGGAAATCTTATACCACTTCAGACAAACAATTTTCCAATCTCTTCTTAAAAACCTCCACTGTTGGAGCACCCACAA